CTACGAGCAGGTATGCTTTTATTCTAGCCCACAGCTTACTATGTAATTTCCTATTTGGGGTTTGGAAATGTAACACAAATTATTTTTTTCTCTCAGTACGAGACTGAGATTATTCAGGTTAAAACAAAACCTGGCCTCTCCCTTGATCCAAAACTGGTGAGTTTTTTCTTCTGATCTTTTTTTTTCATTCTAGAATCGTCATTTTACAGCCACAAACTTCAAATTGAAGAGGAAGAAAAAGAATGGCCTTGAGTTTCTTCCAATTTAAAGCCTGAATGGGGAGGTGGTGTTTGCCAATGTGACAGTAAGGTGTGCCATAGTTAAGACATAGGACAAGCAACAATGCAAACACTAATAGCTCTATACTATTAGAGCTTAGATCTTGGGTTTTTTGAGTTTGTTTTTAGTTTTGTCATTATTTGTATTCTTTACTTACTTCGTTCTGCCCTGTTTCTGTAAATTTTCTTAGTGATTCTAGTTTTTTCTGTCTTGTCTTTTAGTTAGTTTAGTTACTCTAGTTTTCATTATGTTTCTTATGTCTAATTATTTTTGTTAGATTCATTTCCTAGTCCAAAGTCTTCTCTCTCTCACCCCTTGTGCCTCTTTCTGTCTCTCCTCAGCCCTGTCACCCATTAGCTCATTAGCCCAAATCTTTGTTCAGCATTCAACCTAACAGTAGTGAAACACCTCTTTCTCACTCACTCCTTGCTGGTTCATTCCTTTACTTTCAATTTGGCTCCATTTCGCTTATGTTTATTATTTTTGTGTGTGAAGAGTTTGACACTTGAATTTGTGCCTTAGAGTGGTCTTTTACAAGATAAATGCACATTAAATGCATTAAAATCAATGGTTGTATGTTGACTTATGAAAAAGTGAAATGCATTGTCCAACAAGGTGATGTACTCCTACAATATTGTTGTCAGAGAGCTGGAGCCGCCATACTTGTGTTTTTTGTGCAGAATGGTACTGAGACGAAACTAGTAGGCAGGTATGTTGATGGACCCAACATGATAGGACTGGTCATCTGGTCATTCGCCATCGGTATCCTGTTAAACAGGGTGGGACAGGAGGCAAGAATCACTGTGGAGGCCATTCAATGCCTCAATGATGCCATAAAAATCATAGTCAACTGGATTTTGTGGTAAGATCAGACAGTATCTGAGCAGATGTCATTTCTTTTGCATATTCAGTTCTATTTACATAGGACAGGTGCTTCCACTCTTAACAGTTAACTTAAAATATATTTGGAACAACCTTTTTAATAAACCTTGTTTTTTTTTGTGTTTTTTTTTGTTTCAGGTACTTGCCAATCGGAGTTATGTTCCTGATCACAGAACATGTGTTGGGGATTACAGACTGGCGCGCTGTCCTTAAGCTCACAAAGCTTGTAGGAGTGGTTTTTGCAGGGTATGTCCAAATATCTTTTCTTTTTCTTCTTTGTTACCAAATTGATATCACTGCTCCTGAGTTAGCAGCACTGAACTCTTCCTGAGTGACATGAGAAGAAAACTGTGCTATGAATATATTTGAAGAACAGTTTACAGATTTTACTGACATTTTGCTCATTGATGTTTAGAGATCAGTTTTCATCAATGCAATTATTGTCAGCCTCTTTACTCTGATTCAGGGGCGCTGCCAGAAATCGTGGGCCCCCTGACAAAAAATTTGATTGGGACCCTCTGCACAGCTGCTGTTACAATTTTCTGACTCTATAAAAAGCGTGACAATTTTAAAGGCTTGCATCTGCATTGCTTTCTTTAGTTCAATACTGATAACTACCACAATGTTTACTGCT